CATTAAATAGTTGTACACTGGGGTCCACAGAATCACAGCACGTCTGACAGTAACAATATATTCATAGGAGAATATATACAGAGAAGTCTCGTTCGGCTCACACCCTAGGCACGAGGAGGCGACGCGGAAACATCCTGTTGATGCAGAAAACCGCCCGACTGCACCGCGGTGAGACGCATGGACAGACATCGTCATGCTCACTTCCCTGAAAGGCAGGTCCCTGCAGCTCATACACTGTGTGTCAGTCACAGCGTCATGAACCAAAGCAACCCTGGCTGCCAAAAACATGAATATACAAACAGTTTCATTAAGAAATAAAGTCACAGCCAACTCTCAATTGTCCACAAAGAGGAAAGTATGAACACAGGTGAATGAAATACCAGGTAAAGCCAATCAACATCTCAGCCGGTAAGACGTGGCTGCAGCTCCACCGGCATCGTGTCGGCAGGGCGTGCGTGGGGCACGGGGCAGCATCCCCACCCCTGGTCCTGTCCTTCTGGGAGGAAAGTGCTTTACAACACCGAAACGATACACATTCAGGAAGGAGGAAAGAGGTGTTGTGAATAGAAAGTTCGATTTCTCCACTCAATAGATGGCCTGGTCTTAATACTTGAGTCTGACAGAGGTTTGGAAATAATTTATTTTGACTGGAATATTTGAAAAATGTATTTTCGCTCTATCCTCTTTTTAACAGGAATTATGAGCACAGACAGACACCAGTGTGAAGAATCTATTTCACAGACCTTTGAAACCAATGGAATTAGGGTAGAACACAGCAAAAGCACCCTTTTTCCTGGTGCTGAGAACACACCGTGTACAGACCTCTCCCTTCATGAAAGGGTGTGTGTGTGTGTTGTGTGTGTTGTGTTGTGTATGTATGTGTGTGTGCGCGCATGTGTGTTGGAAGAGGAAACACTATGTCTGTGGCCCAAGTATAAATATTTTAAACAACTAAAGGGAAACATTATTTGACTGGAGTGTCAAGCATTTCTGTAAAGGTTTTCAAGAAAACAGCTACATTTGTTTATGAGTGACCAGTGCGAAGAAGTAGATACATTTCAGTCGCGTTGCCCAGACCTAGTTTTGCCCTCAGCTGACTGTGTCTGGAGTCTGGGGCCCTGCAGGCGCACTGCCGGACCAAACATCCTTCTTTCTGTTCATCTTTTACTCGATTTGTTCACTTCATTCCAGAACATAAAACAGGTTTGTGTCTTTAATGACTTTGGTCAAAATTCACCTAAAATATAAAGGACTCTGAAACGCTGGCCCTAACGGTCAGCTCCTCAGCTGGACTTGACCATTTTACTGTGGACTGTGACGCACAGACACTGCACACGACCCCCCGCAGGGCTGCACCTGCCAAGATGGCCAGAGAGGCCGCTGGTCCAGCTGCTGACCGGGCCTGAGAGGGCAGCCGGGAGCATGCCGGGGACAGTCCCGTCATCCAGCATGCAAAATCTAATGCAGAGAGACGGTTCTTCAGACAGAAACACAGGCCACCTCCCGGTCTATCGTGGTGGAACACCTGCTTGAGCATTTCAACACTACGTGGAAATAATTCAACACTGTTTGGTCTAGAAGGGTTTGCATCATGACTTGAAAATAAGAGTTATCTGTTTTCCACCTGTGGCTCTACCTCAACCCTGAGATAGCTCGGTAGAGTCCGGACACATTTTAACTACAGTCCTACCTGGCAGAGGGCCCAGCAGGAAGACACACTGGATACAATGCGTCTTGAGCCCCTGACACCGATGACCAGGCTCCAACACGGATGTGCTTTGTGGAAGTTCAGGTCATAGTGGACAATACTCTGCTTTTAAAAAGGAACACTGCACACCTGAGAGTCTATTCTCAGCACAGATACATTTAAAATTGGAAGTTTGAGCTGTTTCCTGAGAAATTACAAATGTGCAGAACGTAAAGATCGTGTCCAATCTGGGGGAGAGCAGGGAGCTCAGATGATGCTGTTTGCGGGGTGTGCAGGTATCTTAACACTTTGGTTGTGGTGCACGGTTTATGCCTGACGGCTGTGGTCGCAATGCTGCCGCTTTCTGCTGCGCCCAGGCCCCCTCTGCCTCCTGCTCCAGCACCACGTCCGCAGCACAGGGACAGGGACCACCAGTGACCCACAGAGGAACTCGGGCTCTTCACAAGTTCTTCGAGGCAAGAGCAGCTGTTTGGTGGGGCAGCAGCGGTGAACTAACTCCCGCCCCAAAGCGGTTTTTCTCGTGAGCCCATAAGTGAGATGCCTGTGAACTGGCCGTTTTCGGACGAAGACACTCCTGCACATTCTTCATCAGTTCTCGTCCCGAAGGCTGACCTGCAGACCCACTCTGTGGACAACTGTTTGACAAAACAATTTCCAGTCCAGTTTTCTTTTACAGTGGAAACAAAAGTCATGTGCCAAAACCAAAGCTCTGGGAAGCATTTACTCAAAACAAGGTTTGTTTCTGAAGGTAACGGTGGGGGAGAGGTGACAGGTGTCGGTAGGAAGAGAAATTCCCCTGAAACAATAATCGAATTGCATCGCAGACCAAAGACGACGTCTGACATGTACAAAAACAAGCACACATCCTACAGTGTCTCCATCTTTTGAATATACATTTACTTGGGCCCCAAGTAGAAATGACCTGTGGGCACCGTTCACGCTGCGGGCAGGTGGGGAGGACACCTGTGCACCTGTGTCTGTGTCTGGGTGGCACATCGGCCAAGGGCTGAAAAACCTTGGACTACAGTTATAATTTGTAAGTAATATGACTTGATGACAATACATAGAGGTTCACTTAGTTAACCCTGGGCTGCTTCCTTTTTTGCCAAATTAAATGTTAAAACCAGGATCTCCTGATGAGATCAGGAAGAGAGAATACTCTCTTCACCTTGCTTTAAGGGAGAGACACCAGTGTTCAATCACTCAGGCTCTGTGGCATCCTCTCGGAAACTTCTGGATGGAATTCACACCCAAGTGGGGTTCGAAGTGAACAACTGGTTACAAAGGCTCTGGTCCCGCTGAGGTTTGGAAAACTAGGGAGCTCCTTGAATCACCGCCGCCCTGGGGCACAAAGCAGCTCACCTTCGGCTGTGTCTCCGGCTCTTGGCTGTTTTTCTGGTTCTCCAGCCAATTCATTTCAGTAGCAGTGAGTTCTTTCTTGTTTACTTTTATTCGTCTTTATTTTATGCTGAATTTACTCCCGGACCATCGGTTTTTGTTTCTTCCGTTTCTTCTGGGGTATCTTTCTCTTCTGCGAACCCCTCTTCGGGGGTAGGAGCAGGCGGCGGGCACCCAGTGGGCGGGCAGGGAGAGCGGCGGGTGTCTGGGCTCCTCCGCCCACGAGCTCTGTCCTGGGGGCTCCGCTCTGCTCGGGGACCAGACCTACATCTAAACCCTGACCTTCAGCATCGCTCTCCGCATTTCTGAGCATGTGCAGCAAAAGCTCAGCGCTCTTTCTGGGCCCGACCCTGTGTGCAGCCCCCGCGTGGCCGGCCCAGGCCGCGGGGCCCACGCCGCGGGGACAGCACAGGTTGCTCCGCGAGGCGCCGCCTTCAGAGACGCGGGGCTTTTCCAAGACGCGCACCCAGGGCCGGGCGGCTCCCGCGCTCTGCAGTGAACACAGGCCCGAACCTCTTGAGTTGCATGATTTGTGGGGTTTTCTGGGTCAAGTGAATCGTGAACCATTTTCAGAGGTCACCTCTGGCCCCTTCGGGAAGAGCGCAGTCAGTTCTTCGGGGAAAAGTCTGAATCTCACCCTCCCCTGCGCTGTCCGCCCTCCTCCCGCTGTCCCCGCTTCACAGCCACACAGGCGGTTCCTGCTGGGGGTGCGGGGGAGACGGGCTGGGGGGGCAGCAGGGTCTCCCCGGCGGCGGGGCCCCTGCTAGTCCCGGCGCGGACACGTCACCTCCTGGAAACTTGGGGAGACGCTCACCGTGTCTGCTCCCGCCCGCCCCGCACGTCCACGGTCCCTGCCGAAGCCGCTGCCCCTCACACCCGAGGAAGCTCTGGCGTTTCCTCAGCCCCACGGAACCGAGACCTGCCCTGTGGGTGCTTAGTGGGGGGGGGGGCATGGTCCTGAGAACACCCCCCAAGCAAGCTCTCTCCCGGCTCCCTCCTCAGACCCCCGAGGGCCTGCGACCCCCTTCCCTGCGGACACAGCGGCCTAAGAAACTCACACCCGCGCTCGCTGTCCCGGGGGCTCCATCTCAGAAGAGCGGACCAGCAGCTTCCACCCCAGCACCGCGCAGGGTTAGTCAGCAAACGCTCCTACCGTCCTACCACCTTCCTACCGTCCTGTCGGCTGCCGGGGTGACCCCGCCCGGCCTCTGCCTTGTCCGCACCGGTCTGCAGGGAACCGGGGCAGGGTGGGGGGACAGGCTGGCGTCCTCCCCAGGGGTCTCTGAGTGACTGAGCACGTCCGAGGCTGACAGGTGGGACCGGCTGAAGAATCAGGACCAGCTGGACTGGATAAGCGTAGAGAGGGAGGGGTCTTTTCCTCAGCCTGCGAGCCATTGAGATAAGGTCCAACCAGGTAAAAATGTGGACAGGTGTGAGCAAAAGGCCTGGCTGGGAAGTGGGCTGTGTCCCGAGGGGGGGGGGCTCTCACTCATTTTTTAGGTCTCGTTCCATTCGGGTGAATATCCGTCTCTTAGGAAACTTGCAAAGGCCTCAGACATAACATTTCCATTTCTGCATAGTCGGTGGTCTCCCCAGTATTAATTACACTGAAAAATAGACACATTTCCTATGTAGTAAACTGCACAGAAAAATTGTACTATGTCCACTTGATTTTTTCTTTTTTTTTTTTTTTTTTTTGTTAATTCTCACCAAATAATATTTTTACAGTAATTTTTAGACAGCGTGGAAAGCAGGGAGGGAGAGAGGGAGAAACATCGATGTGAGAGAGACACATCGATGGGTTGCCTCCTGCACGACTCCAGTTGGATCGAACCTGCAACCCAGGTACGTGCCTTTGACTGGGAATTGAACCTGAGACCCTTCGTTCCAAAGACCAACTCTCCAACTGCTAAGCCAAAGCGCCAGGGCCCTCTGGATTTTCAGTTAAGAGTAAAGCAAATAAGGTCTCCTGAGATCTCCAGCTTCCCTCATCACACAAGCAGTTCCTTGGCTATCATCCCCACCGGTGACCAGCGTGATTCAAACCCATGGCACAAAAGTCAGCAGTAGTGAATTACAATCTGAATCCCAGCAGTAGCTTAATCTGCGCAGAAATCTGAAACAGAAAGACCCTAGAAGACAAATAACAAGTCACATGCAAGGACCAGATATTTGTGGATGGAGAGTCCTTATGAATTCAAGATCATGTGTTCGCCACATAGCAACCCAAGGACTCCCCAGAATGTGATGCGGGCAACACCCACTGACATCAGCCACTTCCCTCCAGTGGCTCCCAGGCAGTTAAATGAGGGCTGATCCACCTCTTATCACCAAGGCCCCCCGCCCTTGTGGGAGGAGTTAACAGCCACAGCTGGGCTGCGGTGGGGGAGGGGTTTCCTTGAGCCTTGTGTTCTGCTTCGTGGCCATGGCAGCCTCATTGGTCTCCAGACTCTCTGACATTTTGTCGCAGATGATGTCCACCAGGCGCTCAAAGGTCTGCTTGACGTTGATGTTATCCTTGGCACTTGTTTCAAAAAACTCAAACCCTGCAAGAAACACAGGAAGCACAGCTCGGTCATTTGCAGACACGGAATGAACTGGGTTATGGCTTGAGGGCCGGCGGTGGCCTGCTGGGCGGGGGTCCGGTGGGGGAGACGGAGGCAGACACGAGCTGTCCTCTCAGCAAAGGCGTGGACGCGCTGGTTTACCTGTCGTTTCTCTGCAGGTGCATTTGCGCTACCAGCTGAAAGACTAGTGATCCCTCGGCCGTCAGTCACGGTAGCGTCAGGAAATCTCATCACTGAACGTGGTTCCTTCCTCCTCCCAAGCCCAGCCCCCACGCAGCCGCTTGCAGTCTTTTCTAGGACTGATGTTATTTGGCATTTATTTTCTTTCCCCCGTTTGAATTCCACCAAAATAATTCATTTTCTCTTTTATTTTTTATTAACTTGAAGCTTAGATTTCCTGTGCAGATTCTGCTGCAAAAGGGATCAGTGGAAGCCAGTGTGATCTAGCTCACCCTCCCTATGCCTGATGAGAGCTTGGTGGGGGCCTGGTGAGCCCAGTACTGGAACGGACACAGGGGGCACTGACACATCACTGCGGTTCCCTCCGGGGTGCGTCACCTCCTGCAGAAAATTGAGTGAGGGTACCTGACAGCCCTCCAGGGCTATTTGTCCACAGCTTCTGTCACCTGTCAGCAGCAGTTGTTTTTACTAACATCTGGGAAAGGACATTTCGGTAAATTTCAAATGAGCGGCCAGAACTGCAAGTATAAAAAATGCAGCGAGTTTGGTGGCCAGCGCACCTGGGCAGAGGCGGCTCTGTGGGCTGCGCTGGGCACAATTGGTCACTCCATTCACGCCCCCAGGCCGGGCTCGCCAGTGGGTTGCCATGACAACCGCTCCACCAGGCCAGCCAGAGACTGCTCTGGTCCATGCAGGGGACACAGATTTAGGGTGTACTGGGCTGAAGACAGAAATGCTTTCCTAATCCAGTCTGCATGTTACACCCTATAAACCCTCTGGTGACATCTGGCCCTTCTCAGAGGGCCACGCGGATTCAGAATGATTAAATCCTGCGGTCTCATCCCAGCTTCTGGGGCCAAGGACAAAGAACAGACTAACCACCCAGTCAAAATCCCTCTGATCACCAGAAATACTTATTTTCTTGAATAGTATTGAATGGTAGAGAAGAAAAAGCAATTCTCATGAGTTAACATTTCTAATTTAGCAATAATACTGTGCGTATATTAGTGAGATGACTCATCTGAGCGTGAATGGCTACTATACGCTATCCTTGAACCTAAGTGAATAGTTGCAGGATTTGAGCTGAAGGGCCTTGGGCAGAGCCAGAGTCTGTGGAGTATGGTGCATATTTCAAACCCGCTTTGGCTTTTATTGGTCTTTCCTGTGTCTCTCTGGGCAGTGCTCACAGGCTCTTACATTCTGCATTTCTTTGCAGAAAAGGCATCAGCCTATCGGGACAGATCACTCACATTTCAGATTCAGATCTGCAAAGGGCAAGCACGGATCTAAGGAAGTCCCTGTTGCCCAGATGGCAGAACCAGCTGCACCCTTGCGGGGACTTCCCAGGGCTCAGGGAGGCTGCTTCGTCACACGGCACCCAGACCCCGCTCAGGAAGCCAATGTCTCTCGCTGGGACTTTGGAGGAAAAAAAAAATCTGTCAATATGGCACAAATTCAGCTATGGGTTCAATTCCTTCATCTCTTCTGCTAATACTCCCTTTACTTATCAGCATGATTCCAGAAGGCTCTGAAGTAGGGGCCTCGTAAGAGATCGTGGCCATTGTGCAACCTGGCAATTCACACAAGTCTTTGTCGAGTGCGACTCCTTTTATCTGGGCTTTGAGAACCCTGTGATGCTGGTACAATTTGAAGTCAGTAAAATTATCCGTGGTCCCACCAGCCAGACTGCTCTCAGTGCCTTGGCCTTATTTTTTTTTTATCCTCACCCGAGGACATTTTGCATTAATCTTCAGATAGAGCAGGAGGGAGAGAGAGAAAAAACATCGATGTGAGAGACTCACACTGACTGGCTGCCACCCACACAACTCCAACTGGGCTGGGGACAAACTGCAACCGAGGTACATGCCCTTAGCGGGAACCGAACCCGGGTCTCTCTGGTCCACAGGCCGACGCTCTAACCGCTGAGCCACACCGGCCAGGGCGCCTTGGCCTTATTTAACCTGGAATCCCCAGCAGTCAGGAGGGGGCGTTCATGGTGGAGGGCACGGTAGTATAACACCTCTGCACTGACCCAGCGCGGCTGGAGAGAGGTGCCCGCTACGGATGGGTCATCACTCCAAGACATGGGATCTAGCCACGCTGCAGTACTTACGAGCTTTCAGACCATGGGCAAGTCACAGTTTTATTCTCATGTTTCTCACTGATGACATTTGTCTGACTTGGCTTCCAGGGCTGTCATGAGGCTCGAGTGAGAAAATGTATATGAAAGTGCCAACAACTCGGAAAATACCCGGTAACAACAATAGTAACGATGAACTAACGTCTGCGTGGTGACTGCATGACAGATGCTACTCAAACCACTTCCTACATTAGAACTCATTTTATCCGTGACGTAGGGGCCAGTGTAACCCACTGATCAGGAAACACAGGCGCCACTGGCCAAGTCCGTCACCTGCTCAGCTGTCACGGCAGCGCTGACCTCTGAGCTGTGCCTGTGCAGGTCCTGCCCCTCCGCCACCCTGAGGTGGGTACCGCTTGGTCCCAGTTGAACTGGGAGTTCTACGTTAATTAATAATCACAGTATGCACTATAAACTTTCAACAATTTAAATAAATACAAAGTAACTAACTAGATTTAATGCTGTCAGTGAACAAACAAAACATCGTTTTAAAATGGTCCCTGAGGAGATTCACTCTCCAGAGCTCGCCTGCACCTTGCCCCCCCACTCTTCCCTTCTGTTTCCTGAGCTCCAAGGGCCCCCTTCTGCCTCTGCAATTCCTCCTGAGCGCATGCAGCCCAGCTCACTCCCCTTCTCTACCTCTGTCACTTCCTAAATAAACGTTCTCTTATCATTTGAAAAATAAAAATAAATAAATGATTGCAAAGGTAGCCTGATACTTTGTGCCGTTTAAGATTCGCTGAGGCAGCCATCAGGACAGTAGAGTCTCTACAGAGTTATACATATATACTCGGCCCTTGGTCAAATGATGCGGATGTTAGGAACACTGACCCCCATGCAGTCGAAAAGCCACATGTAAGTTTCAACCCCCCAAAACAGGGGATTGGTTCTGGGAATCCCTGCAGATGCTCAAGTCCCTCATATAAAATGCTGTAGAGCAATGCATACCATCGCCCCCCACATCCACAGATCCCCAAATCTGGATCAAAATTACTGCTTTTAATCCCCAGCTGGTGAAGTCCATGGATGGAAAACTCAGGGAAGCGGAGGGCTGACTGTACCATTCATTGTGTATAAGTGGCCGACACAGTCCAAACCCATGCCGCTCGGGGTCAACTGTAAAAGGTGCTGACGAGGGATTGATATCCAAAATATACAGGGAACTCATGCAACTCAATAGCAAAAGGACAAATAACCCAATCAATTAAAAGTGAGATGTGAGTGTGAATGGACGACAGGTACATGAGATGATGCTCACAGCACCACCATCAGGGCAATAGACATCACAACCACAGTGAGATATCACCTCGTGCCTGCCAGGATGGCTGTTATCAAGAACGTTAAGAGATGAGCACTGGCGAGATGTGGAGAAGGGGACCCTCGTGCGCTGCTGGTGTGATCGTCACTGGTGCAGCCACTGCGGAAACCAGTGCGGAGGTTTCTCAGACAATTACAGAGCTACCAAGTCATCCAGCGATCCCACTCTGGCAACATATCCGAAGGAAACAAGAACCCACTGAAAAATAGCACCATTACTTAGACTAGTCAACACATGGAAACAACCTGTGTTCCTGGACAAATGATGACGACTGTGTCACAGAATATACAACAGAAAACCATTTAGCCAAAAAACATGAGGAAATCCTGTCATTTGTGACAACGTGAAGGCATTATGCTGCGTGGAATCAGTCAGAGAAACACAATAATGTGATCTCACTTATATACTGAACTTCAAACAACAACCACAAAATAAACAAACCCAGTCTCATAACAAAAGCTGTGGTACATGTACGCAATGGAGTACTATGCAGCTGTAAGAAAGAAAGATCTCTTATCCTTTGAGACTACATGGAGGGACCTGGAAAGTATCATCCTAAGTGAAATAAGCCAGAGAAAGACAAATATCACATGATCTCACTTATTTCTGGAATATAATGAACTAAACAAACTGATGAACAAAATATATCCAGAGTCACAGAAGTAGGGTACAGACTGACACTCCTCAGAAGAGATAGTGGGGGGAGGGAAGAGATAAACCACAGAACTTATATGCATGTACACATAACCAATGGACATAGACAACAAAGCTGGGGACAGGGAAGGAGGGGATGGGGAGGAAGGTGTCAATGGGAGGAAAAAGGAGAAACATCTGTAACAAAAATAAATAAATAAATAAATAAAAGAGAGAGATCAGATTTGTGGTCACCAGAGGCCAGGGTGAGGGGTGGGTGGAGAGGAATTGCAGGAGGGGCTCAGAAGGTACAACTTGTGGGAATGAGTAAGTCAGTACTGGGGATGCAATGGCAGCATGGTAACTAGTTACCGCTCTGTGCCGTAGACATAAGTTGTGAAGAGACAAAGCCCAGTGGTCTCATCACAAGATAAAACATTTTTTGCAGGAGGTAGTTATATAAGATGATAGATGCTAACTAGAGTTACGGTGATGATCGTTTCACAATATGTATAAGTCAAACCATTATGTTGTGCATCTACACTTATACTGCACTGTATGTCAGTTAGATCTCAGTAAAGCTGGTAAAATTAGGTTTCTGGCTTCTCTTTAAACGCTGGACTACACGGCTGGTGTGCATGGCTGGCTCAGGTCCCATGGACCTTCCCCCTCCAGCTGACCGGTCTGTCACTCCCGTCTCTCTGACTTGACACAGGTCTCGACTGTGTGTGCCCCTCTTTCTCGGCACCCCCATCACTGTTCAGTCAGAAGAGGGAAGGTGCACAGAGAAAGGGGAGTCCGTCCCTTACTCGTGTGCAGGCCGTGTAACAAGCTCTTGCCCTCAGGGGTGGAAATGTCTGGAGAGAGCCCGAACTCCCTCTGCGCCGGGGTGGACCTGCCTTCCTGATGTATTGGACCTTCTGGTAAGTCATTATGTGTCCAGACTGCACCACGTCCCATCTGAGGCAAACGGTTCTTCTAGTACCTTCCTTATGTGAAAGAGTCCTGTCCACTTCTCTTTCGGTTTCGAGAGATTATTCCCGTGAGGCAGGAATGTTCCGCCCGGGTGCCACAGGAATGTCTAAAACATGCAGTTCCTGACATTGAGTCAGGGGCACCCTCCTCCTTCCCCTCAGACTCTCAAATAAAACATCGGCAACGGTCAACACAACAATAGCCATCTGGTGTGAATGAATCAAAATTATACCTTTTTTTTCCACATTGGCAAAGAATATATTTTTGGTGTGCTGCAGAAGTAGTCATTCCCGCAGGTGCCAGAGAGGAGCGGCTGGAAACCACGGACTTGAAGTTGTCTCCTTCAGCCAGTCTGCCTTAGATCAGTGTTTCCATGGTTACAGACATGCGTCCTCACATTCCCAACACACACTGAGCCCGACCTGCAGAGCCCGGGCCCTCCGCCTCGTCGCACCTGCTCCCCCGCGTTCAGCCCTGCTCAGCCTGTGTCCGGGCCCCAGCTTGTGCTTCTGAGAGACCGCAGGCTACGCCCCATAAGAGGGACATGTACTTTGTGATCCCTGATAACATTATAGGGGTTCAGCAAATACCTGTCAGATGGGTAATCAGAACAAAAAGTCTCAAATGCGGAAAGAAGGGGAGGCAGAGTTCGTAGCCGGGAGAGGTGACAGTGCAGGAATGTCCGTGCCTGTCACAAAGCCCCTGGAGTCCGTGCTGGGCAAGGGGATGCGTGCCGGGGGGGGGGGGGGTCTGGATTCCCTGAGCCTGGACAGGGCACAGGGCCACTGCGGGTGCAGATGGTTAGGGACACCTGTCTGCTCTGGGAAGAAATATTCACACAGATTATACACCCTTCAAAACTGGGTCCTTACAAATTATTACTAAAAAATGTTCACTTCTTTTGGAAGAAATTCAGTATCTCTTCTGCCCTTGTGCCTCCAACTGGATTTTGGGGACACGTCAGAGATGTTGAGATGTTGACCTTTCTGCGAGTTCGGAGCCTGTCAAAATGACCCGTCTTCTTCCATCGATCATTTCAGGACAAGACACCTCCCTCCCCTCACTAAGTTCTCCTGGTTCTTCCTCCCACGCCAACTGGTTCTACTTCAGGAACATTTATATCTTTAACGATTGCTCCCAATCTTTTTCTCATTTAATATTTAACAATTGTACATTTAAAACTTCAGTTATGAGATTATACATATATAGATGGCCACCATGTTATAAATTTGATATAAAATAAAAACCTAAAACATTGCTACATATTGTTAAAGGTACATGAATCTATAATAAATATTACAAACATGCCTGAGAAACGTGTCACCAGCTACAGGATAGGATTCATCTCTGGGGCGACTCCCTACCATCTCCAAACAGTCCCACCATCTTAGTGTTGCAAAAAGTTAGTGTTTAAAACGTAGACTCCTGGGCTTCCGCCTCAGAAGTACTGTGCTCACTACAGTACATTGTTACATTGTTGTTATCATTAGTTATTGTTGTTCATCTCTCACCGTGCCTACTTATACATGAAGCTTTACCAGAGAGATGCACTGTAGGGAAAGGACAGTGTATGTAGGGTCTGGTACTCTGCTGACCAGGCACCACTGGGGACCCTAGCACGCCCCGCCGGGTAGGGGCGCCCGCAGAGCCTGTCCCTAGCACTGCGGTGCTCTTCCCTGACAGCAGGGTTGTCACTGTTCCCAGTACGAGGCGCGAGGACAACACCTGGTCAGCGTTTGGTGAATTAAGGCGGACTGGCTGCATCCGAGTGTCGGGCACCCTGCACGCGCCCTATGCAGACAGCTACTCACAGCGACGGTTCGTCGTCACCTAGTCGATGACACAGTGCTGTGGAGCCATCTGCCAATACATGGTGATAACACTGAGAACAGCCCCCGACTCTGCGGTGCGTGATGGCCTCTGGACAACGGCCTATACCAGCTGCTAAAACAACACAGCAAAGGCCTCTGATGCCTTCCCGGAGACTCTGAGGGCCCCTCCCCCATGGCGATGGCTCGCGGGCCTCTGAGAAGCTCTGTCCTCTCGAGGAGAACGAGAGGCATTGAAGGAGGTCAAGGACCTCTAAGAAGGCACGTGTCCGTTGCCATGATAACTGCTGACTTTTACTGAATAGAGAGCAACAGCCAACCAGAAACCACCGGAAGATCCTGCGAGGAACACAGTGTGCCTCTGGCCTTCTGGCCCCTCCTCCAGGTCTGCAGCCCGCAGTGGGGTCCGCCCTTGTCATCACCCCCTCTCAGCACCCAGCACTTCGTTACTGGTGACATGAAACAATTCTTGGATCTGATCTAAAATCTTTGAGCCAAACAATGTTCAGGTCTGTATGTGGAGGAAATTTGTGTCTGTGTAGAAGTTTCTTCCCCGATGTGGTGTAGCCCTGACCTGTCAGGGAAACACGGGGAGGGAGGGACACTCTCGGGACGCCACGTGACCACCTCTCTGAGCTTTCCTCTCTCTCCTGGGGGACCCTTGTTCTCCACCCTAACTTCCTGAGGTGCTGGGAAGACTAGGAAAAGGTGCCAAGTTTCCCAGACGACAGCACGTGACCATGGGCAGCACTTGGGACATTGGTGGAGGCGGGATCACCTTTAGTCTCACGAGCTTCGCCTCCTGAGGACATGGTCAAGCTCTCAGACTGGACGTGCACACTAATTCATGAACTGACCAGGTGCAGAGTGACCCACTGGGAGACACCCCTTCACCCCGTCTTCAGGTTATAGCCCGAGGCCCTGCCTGTGTCTTAGGACTTCTGTGGGCTGAGATCATCATTAAAAAAAAGGAGAAAGTACCAGGTAGAAACTATCATAATGAACCTCATCTTGTGAGGGTCAATGTGTTTTATAAAACGTGTTTCATTCTCTTTCCCACTGTGTGTGTATCTCCTGAGTTACCGCACTAAATGCATTTCTCAGTGTAGATCCCAGGCAATAGGGCGGGAAAACCTGAGCTCTTCCCTGCTAAGAAATTTCAGTATTCTCTGTGGTCTTCAGAAGGGGGGGACTGGGGGAGGGGAGGGGACTGGGGGAGGGGAGGGGACTGGGGAGGGGAGGGGGAGGAGGGGCTGGCTGAGGGGAGGGGACAGGGGAAGGTGGGGGAGGGGAGGAGGATTGTTCCAGCTCCCCTTTTCAGGGCTGCACCGCCCTCCCAGTCCAGGCTCTACTCCAGCCATCACGCTGGGCTCCAAGCCTCTGCCCACTGCTCAGCCTCTCGGGGCCCCAGCTCCCAAGGCCCCCGCTTCTTGGCTCCCCGCGTGCAGTCTGCTCTCCACGTCCAGTGCACATGGTCTGTCTGTTTCCTCCTTCAATCACGCTTCCTGCTGGCTGCTCATTTCTCAGCTGTCCTTCCAGGCCCACCTGCACTGCTCCGATCTGCCCGTCCTCCCGACTCCCACACCTTCTGCCCCCTCCCCCTCTGGGTCCGCCCCTTGCTCCCCTCTTGGCACCCCCCCTAGGTCATCACCTCTCCTTATCCAGTTGCTGTCTTGCTAGTTCTGCTTCCTTGTGTACAACTCCGGTCCCCCACTTGAGTGAAAGAATCTTGGCCCGGGACTGTGTCCCCTGTGACGTCTGACACCACGAGTGGCATATGACAGGTGCTCAATAAAACGCCTGAAGTTACGGAGCTCGCGACTCCCTCCTCGCATGGGAACGGCCCTGCGCATTCCCGCGTTTCCCCTTCGGACACACGCTGGGCGTCTGACATGGCCTTGCGTTTCCGCAGCTCCACCTAGGACCTCTTACCCTGTCCACCTTGTCCCTGGAGACTCGGTGGAGCAGGCAGGGGCTTCATACTGACTCTTCAGAGACGAGGACATTAAGTCTCAAGGAGGCGTGTGACCACGACAGGGCGTGGGGGGGGCGTCCCCAGACCGGAACCTGCGCCTACAGTGGAGAGAAGAACCCAAGGGCGCCCTGTGCTCCTCGGGGCTCAGAGCGCCCTGTGCAGGGACCCTGTCTGCTCCTGCTGACGCCACAGGTGGGGAGCCCTCACCTGCAGGGGCGCCTGTCGGGTGGCGGCCTCTCCACTGGGCCCGCCCTGCCAGCGCGGGGTCCCTGCGGCGCCCTCGCGGATGTACTTACCCAGCTGCTCCCCCAGGCGCCGGCCCCGCTCCGTGGAGATGACCCGCTCCTCTTCCATGTCACACTTGTTGCCGACCAGGATCACCTGGGCCTCATCCCAAGAGTATGTTTTGATCTGAGTTGACCTAAAAGAAAAAGGACAAAAGGAAAAAATGATCAGAGGAAAGTGAAAAACATCAAGTGAAGAAGAACTATATCCCACATATGATAATAGCAAAAAATGGAACCCAGTTTTGGAATTAATAGGTCAGTGAAATTTCTCCCATCAGTTAGAAATGAATAACAATGGTGTGTTCAGAATTATTTCCTACTTGGTGAGCTGATGTCCCCGCTTCTTTTCCTCCTCCCCTCACCCCACCACTATCGCTGGGTGCCAGCCATCCCGTCTGCCCAGAGAGTCTCCGTGTTAGCAGGGGGGTCCCGTGACCCGAGACGGCCTCAGCTCCAGGAAACCCAAGGACACTGGTCTGCTCGGCACACAGATATCGGTCCCCTCTCACGGTAGCCACGGAACAAGCTCAGTCACTGGGCCCTGGAAGTCTGGAGGCAATTACACATGGTTTGTAAGAATTGACACATCATGGTCTCACACTTTTAAGAGAGAGATGCATGTGGATGAACACTGAAGTTACGCACAAGGGCAGGCGCTTTAAGGCACTATGAACAGGGTTCCTACCATCGGAACAATTCCCGGTATGACTCCTGGCACATGTGACCAACGTCTGATTTTAAGTTAGATCACAACTGTAGTCCTTAAGATGTGCAGGTACTGTTCTAATCACTTTATATATGTCCCATTAATTTAATCCTTAGAGCAACTGGGGGATATCACTGCCTCCTCGGTCTGCAGCTGAGGAAGGCGAGGCCTCGGGAGGCGGGACACCGGGTGGAGCTCCCTCTGCGTGAAGGGGAACGTGTCTGCCGGTACCAGTGGGACTGGACTCTTCTAAGACTCTCAGCGCTTCGTGTCCTCAGGAAGCTGACAGGAGGCACCTCTGAACTCCTCCCTTCACAGTGGCCTCATTCTTGTTTGAGGACGACAGTCTCGGGTGGGAGGGACACGCCTCTCACTGCGTGCTCAGGCGCAAGCCGAGGTGGAGAACTCAGCGCGCGGTGGAAGTCTGGAGGGGCCAGCAAAGCGCGAGGAAGAGAAGCCTGGTCCCTTCTTCCCAGCAAGTTTCAGACCCTCCAGGACTATTCCACGGAAAGTGCGGTGAGCGGTTCTCCACCTGCAGAGAAGGAAGCGCAAATAGCTCTGGAGGCTCAGGGGAGCTTGGGTGAGCTGGGCCGCGTTCCCTCCCTGGAGAAAGGAGGCTGCTGCCAGGCGCGGTGGGTTCCGGGGCCCCCAGCCCAGCAGAGCGCTTGTCAGAGGAGATGCGTGTCTGGTGAACAGTCCGGGCTGCGCACCAGGCTTCATCAGAGAAATCTGGGGAGGTGAGCTTCAGTTCTGTGCCCACGCGAACCACAGATTCCTCCAGCGATGGCGAGAACCCATGAACCGGGACCAGGGCCGATGTTCGGAACTACGCTTCCGTCTCGCCTCTTCTTCTGTGTGCGGTGCAGGAAAAAGGGTGACTTCACAGAGCATAGGGCGTGAAAAGTCCCCTGCACCTGGGTAACCCTGAACTCTCAAGTGCTGACATCGTTTCACAAAGAATTTCCAAAGGGTCTTTTAAAGGAACTCAAATTGGATTGGATTTTAGGCAATTTTTTAAATGATTCCTCTGCCTCTTCCCAGAAAGGCCGCGGGCAGGGCTCCGTGCCCAGGAAGGTGCTCCTCGTGGCCAGGGGGCCTCAGGGAGGGGTCTGGGGGGGCCTCAGGGGGGGATCTGGGGGGGCCTCAGGGGGGGCCTCAGGGGGGGACCTGGGGGGCCTCAGGGAGGGGTCTGGGGGGGCCTCAGGGGGGGAACCTGGGGGGCCTCAGGGAGGGGTCTGGGGGGGCCTTAGGGGGGCCTCAGGGAGGGACCTGGGAGGGGGCCTCAGGGAGGGGCCTGGGGGGCCTCAGGGAGGGACCTGGAGGGGTCTCAGGGGGGGCCTCAGGGGGGGACCTGGGGGGGGGCCTCAGGGAGGGGCCTGGGGGGGCCTCAGGGGGGCCTCAGGGGGTCGGTGCATGAGGAAGGTGTGGGCGGTGGACCTGAAGGACAGGCCTCCCGCAGGGCTGGAAACCCAGGACCCGGCGCGCTCAAGGCCCAGGTGCAGGCTTCGCTCTCCCCGCGTTCCTGGGACGCCCGCTCCGGCCACTTACACGTCACCACCGCCCTGGGTCGCAGGCTGCTGTGGCCAATGGCACCGGCATCCGTCCTGCCCGCGCTGCTGTCAACGTCGAAAAGGACCAGGCAGCTCGGCAGTGCTCGTGGGGACGTCGCCTGCTTCCCAGCCTCAGGCACGGACTCGGGCAGCGGTGGGCGGTGGGCCGTGGGCGGGCGCGGGCCAGGGTCTGCTCTCCACCCTCCAGGTCTCACGGGTTAGTCCCCCAGCAGGCAGGTTTCCCTCCCAGACTAGCTCAGCCCTTCCTTCCTCATCCCTACAACTTAAATAATTTTTTCTCATTAGAGAATGTGAAATTGTGTCCAGTTCCCATCGGAGACTGAGGCTGTTCGCAGGCAGACTTCTAACTGGGGGGTCGGGGCTGCACCAGGTCCTCTTCACCGGGGCTTCTGCGTGTTTTCTGTTTGGGTGATTTGCAAAACTTTCTTCTCTGGAAGGACGGCTCGAATCTCCTCATTAGTGGCTGCCTTCTTGCCGTGTTGGTCAGAGACTCACATTAAAAGAAAGCGGCTCTCACCAAACAAATACGTGTGAGAAGATGATTTATTTCGGACACCGCAGAACATCCTTTGGGACTTACTGTTAAACTCAACAAGATTAATGGAATCAGAAGCAATATGCTGGTCACCATGGTTACTCAGCAAATGGCAATTAACACAGACCTCACCAGTACCAGATCAGAGTTATTAAAAAATCTGTGGTCATTTAGCTAAAAACAAAACCAAAACCAAAAAACGATCTCCTGTCTCGCTATATATTTTCTACATTTTTATATATTTTCTCTTTCTCTAAACATAGATATGCACACATACAAAGGGTTTCTGTTGATTTTTTTTTTTTACATTATGACGCAGCAGAAGAGGAAAATAGTTCTTCATATTTGCACATAAATGACTAAACTCTGCACAGAATAAACTAATTCAAGCTCCTTGCCCAGCTGGTGTGGCTCAGTGGATGGAGCGTGGTCCCGTGGACTGAGAGGTCTGAGTCCAATTCCTGGTCAGCCAGGGCACATGCCGGGGTGGCGGGCTCGATCTCCAGAGGGGTCGTGCAGGGGCAGCTGATCAATGTTTCTCACATTGATGTTTCTCTCTCTCTCCCTTCCTCTCTCTCTAAAAAATCAATAAAAACATTTAAAAAATAAAACAACAAAACAAAATAACATAAAATAAATAAAATCGTGCAGGCTCCCATTCCTCCTCCCTCGTTCCCAGTATGAAACGCTTCCCGTGTGTTCTGCCTGTTCTCATGGTGAATGCACACTTGCTGGTCACAGGTTCTAAAACGCTGCGCAAAATGTACCTCCGTGGCCAAGAAAGCGACTGCCTCTGAGGGTGTAACTGGGGCTGCGTGTGGGGAAGAGGCACCGACGGTGTGCGCCGCCCTCCCTCCCCCGCAGCCGGACAGATCTCAGGCCGCGATCTTCATCCTGGAAGCACAGCTTTGGGTCGCTCTCCGCCTCTCAGGAGACGCCGGGGCTGCTGCAGGTGCCGCACGGGGCTGGCCCTTCAGTTACACTTTCAGTAATTTAGTCCTTTATTTATTCCATTCTTCTTAACCATTAGAGAGCTTTTGAAATGACTCCAACTTAGAACAATTAATTCAGAACTTCCAGGGACTTATTTAAAAGCCTCTAGATCTGTGGTGTCCCTGGGCTGAGGGCCCTGAGACGACCCTGTCACAGGCTCCTGGGGACCCAGGGCCCTCACAGGCCACGCCGGCCTCCCTGCGACCTCCTCGCGCACCTGCTCCCGACGGCAGGTGCCCCGACGGTGGGCCGCGTGGCCACTGGTCACCGTTGTGTCTGTGGCGTCAGCACCGTGTCCGGCACACAGGACCTTCCCCGGGGGTAACTCTGACTCAGTGACCAAGCGAACTGAAACCACAGGCTGGATGTGACTGAAACGCACGAAGGCCAGTCAGTCCTGAGGAGCACAGAACACACGCAGCCCGGGACTCGCTGTGTCCTCACACAAGCGGCGGCCGTCACCCGCACTGGGGAGGTAGGCAAGCGTGGCCCTTGGCGGCCTGAGACTCCCTGTGTGACCCACCAGCCCCTGCGGCCTGCAGAAACCACCTTTCCTTCCTGTGCAGCACTGCGTGGGGAACAGGACCCCATGGGGAGTAACTGGATTGTGGGGACGACTTGCTTGGAGGGTGCTGGTCCAGCCCCTTAGTTTTGCAGGTGGCAAAGCCAAGACCAGGTGAGGAGGGGATGCCAGTCCCTCATGGCCAAGGTGGGTCTTTTATAACATGACGGGAAAGGGGTGCTACATGTTACTGGACATGGACTTGGTAAGAAATTCACATGCTAAGTTTTGCTTCTCTTTAAAAAATAAACAAATACTTTGTTTCTTGGGGGGAAAATGCCCCGAATCCTCATAGATACAGAGATCGCCAGCCTGCGCGTGGGAATGGGCAGAGGGGACGTGCCCAGAGGATCCGCCACCTGCCTCTGCAGCTCAGAGCTGACGCTGCGCCTACAGCAACTCGAGGGCGTCGTCATGACCAGCGGGGCCCCAGAACCACCCTGTACCACACTAGTTCTCGCTGTTGCCCCACATCCGGCCTTAGGCCCATTCCCGGCCTCGCTTATGACTGCCGGTCTCGCTTCGATTTCACAAAATGTCCACTCGGTGTGTGAACTGTAAGTGTGGAAGGCACAAGCGGACATCTCTCTTCCATGACACAGAGGACAACAGCAGGTGGAGGAAGCATCGCCCGCCCTCTGGACAGGAACTGAGCCCCCGCCAGTGTGCGGACTGGACGTCGACCCAGGAAAGGCTCCAGGATGTCTGTGCTCTTCGTCCTCAACAGGCAGGCCGTCCGGTTTCAGACACATCCTTTTGTCAGACGG